AAAGGTAGATATTTCCCAAATGTCAATTTCTTGGAAGCAAAGAAGAGTGGTCGTGCTTCGTGGGCGTGGGCAAGCTTGCTCGAGGGCAGGGATATCTTGCTTCGTGGTGCTCATTGGCAAGTTATGAACGGGGCTCATATTAGACTGTGGGTTGATCGATGGCTACCGACTTCTCCAAACGCATGTCCTCACCTACTTTCTACTGAAACTCTTGATCGAAACTTACGAGTTCAAGCTATTATTAACAGGGAGCTCAATGAATGGAATTTGGACCCAATTAGGCATGCCATTTCTGCTAGTGATGCCTATGCAATTACGAGGATCAAGTTTGGTAGCAGCAGACTGCCAGACCGACTGATTTGGCCAATGGAAAGGAATGGATCCTATTCTGTGCGCTCCGGTTACCATTGGCTCCACAATTCTGATTTGAGGCGAAGAAATCCGCGCCCTTCCTCTTCAATGGCGATTGATCCAAGGCTTTGGAAACAGGTTTGGAAAGCGGATGTCCCACCAAAAATTCGAAACTTTTTGTGGCGTGCTCTCAGAAACTGCCTTGCTACATCGGCAAACTTGCACAAAAAGAAAATTGCCAGATCGCCTATGTGTCCTCTATGTAATGATCAACCGAAAACGGCTGAACACATCCTTCTCCTTTGCCCTTGGGTGGAGCCTGTCTGGTTCGGTTGCTCCCTCAACCTGCGTATAAATCGTCAGGCTGTGACATCTTTTCGCCAGTGGTTATGGAATGTTATTGAGAAAGGGAAGACCCTACAGGAGCGATCACGATGCCTAACTGTTATCGCATACCTCTGCTGGCAGATTTGGAAGGATCGGTGCAAAGTGGTGTTGGAACACTTCTCCCTTTCACCAGCTAGAACTATTCATGCTGCCTCTATTGCCATCAATGAATTCCTTGGCTCCCTTGATCATGGAAGACATCAAACTGAGCCTCCCACCCTCTCTAATGACAACCAGCAACATTTGTGGAACCCCCCGGCCTCTCCTTTTGTCAAGGTTAATGTGGATGCATCCTGGAATCCAAACCCAAAGAGGGTTGGCATTGGAATCCTGATTAGGAACACCCATGGAGATTTTATCAAGGGTACATCCATCCCATCAGTGGCGAACTCTGCTATAGAGGCTGAGGCTCTGGCTTGTCTTGAAGGTTGCAAACTCGCTGCTGAGATGGGTTATCGTCATGTCACTTTTGAATCTGATTGTAAGGAAGTAATCTCTCCTTTGAAGGGCTCCTTATCCAAAGGAAAGTGGGAAATCTATCCTATCCTAAGTAATGTTCGGGATGTTTTGAACTGCTTCCAGACCTACGTTTGGACGTGGATTCCTAGAACCGCTAACCAGGCGGCAGATCATTTGGCAATGCTTGCCAATTCGAGGATGAGCCCTGAAGTATGGGTCAACCGACCCCCATCCTCCCTAATGCATATCCTAAACAAAGATGGTTTACCATGCCCCCCAAGGAGTGCTTAATGGTTGCGGCTGTGTGGGCTTCTCGACGTATTTGTTTGTCTTATGACTACGTCTCTGTAGTTGTCCTCCTTCTCTGTAGCTGCGTTTTTATTATGTCTTGTTGTTGGAAGTTTAAAACTAGAGAGTCTGAGGATAAATCCAACTCCTTAAATTTGAAGAGTTTCGAGAAATGGATTTCTGAAATCACTTCGTTCGAAGAATTCCCACCAAAATCAATAATCTCCAACTTGGACATTTGTCCAATATTTTCAGGTATTCTTCCACTTAATTTATTGCCCCCGAGAAGCAAGTATTTCAATGATAAAAAGTTCGCGAGATCAGGCACTAAACCCATAATGCCATGATTCTCAAAGATATCCAAATCCTCAATATATTAATTATATTTTACTTGATGCTTAATTATATAATAAGGAGGAAAAAAAACAGCCGGTGAACTACTGTTAGTTGGGTGTTAGGAGTTTTTATTCTTTTTTAATTATGAGTAAATTGGGTTTTTGTTTTAGGATTATCTGTCAACTTTTAAATCCCTTAGATTAAATTTTAATGCAGTGGCATATGGAGAATAAAAGTAAAGGAGATCATAACAGAGAAAATCAGAGCAAGGGATTCGGATCTA